TTCTTTCTTCTTTCTTCTTCCTTCTTCTTCTTCCTTCTTCTCCTTCTCCTCCTCCTTTCCTTGAAAAAAATGTTTCCTAATATCTTGTGATTTTTAGCAGCAATGTGTGCCACGTTTCAAAAAGACCAAAAAAGAAACTTGAAAAATTAAGGAGTCGAAAGACCAGCCATGTTCCTAAACCTCCAAACTGCCTACCATGACAGACATTTGGGTACACCATTCTTTGGGGGTTCTTCTGTGTTAACAGGCACACCACTCACATGAACAGAGTTCTCTTCTTTTCTAAAAAGTGGTATCAAGCCAGGTGTAGTGACACATGGCTGTAATTCCAGGACTCAGAAGACTGAGACAGGAAGATCACCATGAGTTTGAGGGCAGCCTGGGCTCCATAGTGAGGCCCTGTCTCAAAAAAAAAAAAAAAATCATACTATATATTTCCTCTTTTAATTAATAGACTATTTCTTTCCTTCTTTTTTTTTTTTCTTCTTCTTCTTCTTTTTTTTTTTCCCCAGAACTGAGGATTGCACTCAGGCCCTTGCACTTGCCAGGGAAGCACTTATTTCATTGAGCCATCTCCCCAGCCCCTAGACTATTCCTTAACAGCAATTTTGGGCTTACAAATAATTGAGCAGAAAATACAGAATTCCCATAAATCCCTCTTCTTCTACCCATAATTCCCTGTCACCATCCTCATTATTATTTGGGTCTGAGGATCAAATCTATCAAACATTGTACTACTGAAGAACATTGTCTTGGTAAATCTGTTGCAACTGATCAATTGATATTAAGATGTTATCATTTATTTATTTTCTTTGTTTTGGGATAGAGTTGCCCTAATTTGCCTGGGCTGCCCTCTAACTTACCATTGTCCTACCTCAGCCTCCCAGATGGCTGAGACTGAAGGTGTGCAACACCCGTCCTGCCTGCTCTCACAAATATGGATGGGCTGCTTTTAACATTTTCACTTTACTCAAAATAATTTTAAATCTCACTTGAGACTTCTTTGCCTAACACGTGTAGAAGTGTGTTATTTAATCTTGATGTATTCTGGAATTTTCTAGCTATCTTTCGTTTACAATTTCTTGTTTAATTGCACTGCTGCAAAAAGTATTCTTTGAATAACATTTCTTATTTTAAATTTGTTTGGGTTATTAGTTGATGCTCTCTGCTCTGTAATGTGCTGACTTATGTTCTGGGCAAACCGCCACCATGCAAAATTCCCTTCCCTCAACAACTGGAGAGTACCTTTGTCCGATGTTTATTCTGCTCCATGGCAACTGTAGTTGTTAATGAAATAAATTTTTCAGTACATTTATAAGAGATGAGTATAAAAGAAAATCAATACTAAATTTTTTTTATGTGTTTAGTACAGGGTCTAAACTGTGTCTCACTATACAGATTGGACTCATAGTGATACTCCTGTTTTCAGCCTCCCAAGCGCTGGGATTACAGGCAGCACCACCACGCCCATTCTCAATCTCCATCTCAGCGTGCTCCAGGGGTGAGTCCAGCCCGGCATGCTGGGGATCAGACCCCAGTCTCTTCGTCAGCCTAAACAGGCGCTTTAATCCACTGAGCTATCTAAGGGCAAATTCATAAACCACTGTGGAGAATAATCTAAGAATGAGAAAAGAAAGCTGTAAAAGATAGAGGACGTGATTGGAAAACTCCAGTTCTGTCCTGGGTTGTGTCTTCGTACTTTGGCAGGTGGCTTTATATTATTGTTCCCTTAAAGACACAGAAACAGGAAGTTATGGAGGTCATGTTCTTGTGTTATTCATGCAAGTTACAACAACGGTTGATAGGGCATCTGCCCTCAGATTAAGGTCTCTTGTCTTCACTGAATGATTGGGAAGTGGGCATCTTTGTGGCTCTGACAATTAACTTAGAGAATCATGATGATACAGGGGAATGAAACTCCCCACCTGAAAGGTCCCTGGGCTGAGTTCATGTTCTCTAAAACCAAAGAATGACTTTTAGGAAGAATGGAGGTTAAGAGCAGAATATATTTACTGGGGAAAAGAAAGCTCCCATCCAAGAGAAAGTTAACGCAAGGGTGGGGTTGCAAGGTCTGGCCTTCCCTACTGGCTCCATCTGAGGACCTAGCCCTGCCTGACTACCTATAATATTTCTATCTAATTAAGCTGCCTATAATAATGACATTTTGTGTTCGACCCACACAGCTCAAGGACAACTTGCTCAAAGTTGTACAACAAATCTGAACCAGGGCCAAGCAAATGTACCTTCCTGTGTTTTCACAGGGCCTGCTCTATCATTTAACCTCATTAAGATGATGTCGCTGGTGAGCCTCATAGAACAGAGAAGGAGCCAAGTTGATGGCCTCCAAAAGTGTTTAATCCACATGGCCACATGCCAGGTGAGGTTGGGTCCTCCTTGCTTTTCCTAGGAACCGCCAGTCCCAGATCCACCTGCTCCCTGGTGCCCCTTTGCCAGTCCTGCTGGGTGACCTGAGCTGGCGCCTCCCTGTGCCACTAACTGCTGCTCCCAGTAAACACCTGTTGGTGGTACTGGCTGGAGGCTCAGCTCCTCTCTGTGCAAGACCTGAAGATCTGTGTTCTGTGTCTCTGAGCCCCTGCCATTCTCAGCTCCGATATCCCTTGCATATCCCCAATGCCACCTCAAAAGTGCTGTCCCTCATGTGTACTCCTGAGGCGGCCCACAGATGCCAGCAAATCAAGTGCCGTTTGTGGAGGCTGCACTGTATGTCAGCAACTCTGCATGTACCACACAGTGGAAATCTCTCAATCAATCTCTGAAGTTGTTTATTATTGCCTCTGGAGACTCTGAGATGTGAAATGACCTGGCCCACTGCTTGTGATCAGAAGGTGGTGTGATTTTTTGGTGGTGTCATGGATGGGTCTGAGGAAGTTCTCCTATGGAGGAGACAGAGACCTCAACTAAATGCAGGAAAGTTCTTTAAGTCTTGTGACCAAAAACCACTTCAGGATGGGCCTGCAAGAGGCACAGGGAGATTGATTAGGCAGAGTTAGAAAGTAAGAAAGGAAGGAAGGGACTTGGGCTTGGCGAGCTGAGGGGACGATTGGGCTGGCCTGGCTGTCACACAGCAACCAGACCAGCTTTTGTGGGTTTGCAGGCCTGGCCTCAGGCTGCAAATCACTATCTTGGTTTTGCAAGGAGGCTCGGTCCTTGGTTAAAGGAGCACGTTGGTCTCTGAGAGATGATTGATACTTCTTGGGAAGTCTCAATTTTGCAGAAGGGGTAACCCTAGGTAGGGGAGGTTCTGTGCAGTGACTGGAGACTGCGGAGTGCCCTCTGGTAGTTGAATGTCCCTTCAAAAAAAATCTTTATTTATTTAATTCATTATTTAGTACAGAGTCTATCCGTGCAGCTCAGGCTCATAGTGATCTTCCTGTCTCAGCCTCATGGCATTCCCGGAACCAGAGATCGAACCGGGGTCCTTGTGCTTGCCAGGGAGGTGCTTAGACCACCAAGCTGTTTTCCCAGCCCTGAATATCCCTTTAAATCTCATATTTAGATGTTGGGGATAGGTTAGGTAATTTTTTTTTAGTTTTATGGACATAACAAGAGTAAAGCAATAGTTAATACATTGCATATTGTTATCTTCAAAATAGTTATTCAGAGTATAAGGTATAGGCATGAAAAATTGTCCAAACAATATCAGCATAAACCTTTCTTTTCAATGAACTAAAAGAACTAGTGGTCTAACCATTCTGTATTTTTTTCTTTTCCCTCCCTTCCTTTCTCCTTTCCCCCACCCTAGCTCCTCTTTTCTTGCAGAACAGTTATATAAATTTAGAGTTAGTAGGCTGTATATTGCCAACTGCTACCCAGACACACCCTCACCCTTAACACTCTGGGCCTAGGTGCGGAGCCCAGCAGGGATCCAACCCCAAGCTTTGAAATGATAAGAGAAACAGATACAAAGCAGGGCCAAGATTTGTTGTGCTGTTAGTGACCTGCTGGGCATCTATAGGCCCAACTGAAGAGTCACTACTTTCTACCAAAAGCAGCTTTTAAGTCCCTGACTGCCTTAGATGAAACCACAAACCATGCTTTTAATGAATAAAAGAAAGACACTGGGATTCTTTTCAGTTGCCTCTCTTGGTGGTGTTGCAGAATCCGAGAGATCAGAGAGACCAAGGGGCAAGAACAGGAAGATTTTACTAGGTGTGCACCTGGCTCCACTCGACCTTATGATGTCCGAAATGGCTGAGCGATCCCTGAAGGGAAGGACCTACTTTTTATATGTTTTGCTGAGGGGGTGGGTCTTCAGAACCTGGGTGTGGGGCAGGCAAGGGTGCTGAATTGAGGCAAAGCAATTAAAACAATTAACAGCCAGGTGTGGTGGCTGCCCCTGCAATCCAAGCCCTCTGGAGGCAGAGGCAGGAGGATCCCCCTCAGTTTGAGGTCAGCCTGGCCTATAAGAACAAGTTCAAGGCCAGGCTGAACTACATAATGAGACCTTGTCTCAAAAAACAAAAAAGCAAGCAAATGAAAACAGTAATTTAGCTTTGACAGAGACAAGGCCTTATAAAGCTTGCAAGAATGAGA